CCAATGTATGTTTGTTACCGATGGAACTCAGCTTTGGTGCTGTTGTTTTTTTAATAGTGATTTCATTTTGTATTTTCTTTACAATTTCTTGACAAAAGCATAATTTTAAATACTTATGTTCATCAAAGAAATGATAATAAGCAATTAACAATCTTTTAAATTTTGAAATTAATCATTATCTGATTACTTAGTTTTATATTTCAAAACTAAACTTATTGTTTTAAATATGACAGAAATTAATCTCTCATTTTGGATATTTGTTTTATTTTTTCAGTTTGTTTTACGCAAGATATTAAAAATTCATTTAGAAAGTAATATTTTATAAGATTAAGCACATTCATATATGATATATATAATGCGAATTCCAAGTGTATAACATATAAAAGCATGGCAAATAATGTAAATACAGCACAATACATTTTCGAGTTATAATAACCATCTACATGTATATATCACAATACTTTATAAATAAAATTTATTTCCGAAAAATAACGATGGTCTTCACAAAGTATGGACGATGTTGTCCTATGGCCGATACATCTTTTCAAGAAATGGACGATACATCATACGGACGACGTGGCAGTATGTACGTCGCGTCCTGCATCGCTTTTAGTAATGCAATGAATGACAGAGCAGGTATTACAAACAAAAGTGACAATTCGCAAGAAAATATCAAACAAACAGCTTTGAAGCACAAGTACAAGCAACTATTTAACATTTGAACCAAACCATGACTGATACCTTTGATATAGATGCACACCCACCTTGTCTCATTAATATCTCTACAGGCATGCATGCTACTAGAGAAGTACAGGATTCCTTGCTTTCTGTTGTAAACGAAGGGGGAAATATGTGCAGAAGATTTGTCAACAGTGCGCTTTCTGTAGGCCAGTCTGGGGCTTCTATAGCCCCATTACCAAGTCCAAATTGAAAACCTTTGAACACATGAACGCCAAGACAACCCTTAAGTGTAAACCTGGCGAAATCATAACATGTCATATCAATCCAGAAACTGTTTTCATGCGTGCTCTGACTTTGGCTAACAGCAGAGATGATGTCACGATGACACTATTCTCTCACTTCTTCTTGGGTCTACCCCAGTTTCTTTGTTCCATGAAAGGTTCTTTCTTTGCCAGATTTTGACCCTTTGTTGACAACTTACATTAGAGACGGTATGGCTATAGGTCAATGCATGGATGCAAAAAAAAACATAAAACCTTTGGAGATCTCGCTCTCGACAATTGCAATTATTTAGCAAGTTGTTTTACAAAAGCACGCACAGTAGCCGATGTTTTTGATCGATATGATGTAATACACTACATTAAGTCAGCTGAAAGAGAGCGACAAACCAGTCACTGCTCATGCAAAGGTGTTTCAAGTGATTGAAGGAAGAAATGTTCCGACTGCAAGAAATTTCTCTCTGTTAAAGAAAACAGCCAGGCTCTCATTAAAATTTTTGGTGACTTCCTGGTCAATAGATATAAGAAGATGTGGTATGAGTGCCAATGAGACAACTCTCTATCCAAGTCACAATTTGTAAAAGTAAACCATTATAGGCCAAAGTACGGCCTTCAACACAGAGCCTTGGCTCACACCGAACAGCAAGCTATAAAGGGTCCCAAAAATGACTAGTGTAAAACCATTCAAACAGGAAAACCAACGGTCTAATTTATATAAAAAACGAGAAACACTTATGAACCACATCAACAAACGACAACCACTGAACATCAGGTTCCTGACTTAGGACAGGTGCAAACAAATGCAGCGGGTTTAAACGTTTTAATAGGCGCCAACATTCACCCTACCTGAAATAATAGTGTAACATCACAACATAGAAAGACACACTATAAAATATAATTGAAATGGCGTAACTCAATCAAAAGACATATTAACAAAAACAAGTGAACATACACTGGACGAATAAAATTTGATCTTTGCCACAATGTAAATACACAATTAATAAAACAAGGGGGTTAAATGTAAAAAAAATGTCAAAAAGACAACCATATTAAACCTTGGACAAAATGCCGCCAAATACAATAACGTACACAGGTAAATAAAAATAATTTTGTTGTAAGGTATACATAGAGTACGGAAATAGTTTTTACAAAATAAATAATTTTGTTGTTCCTAGTACGAGAACAAAAGTGAAAATTTGTCTTCATACTAAACACTTATCAAAGGTGGTATATATTAAAAATAGTGAGACTAGATTTAACACTGAATAAGTAAACATTAAATAACAAAAATACATTACAAATTGTATCAACAGGTCAAATTAACACGAAAGTACGGTTTGAGAGTACTCACAGTTACTGAAAGCTAGTTAAAAGTAAAAAAACAATAATAAAAATTCACGCATCAGAGACTAAAATCAACTAAAACACATCCCTGGGATATAGTGTTTAACATCATGGACAGTCAAAGGAGACATGACTTGTGCAAAGCCAAAATAAAAGTATCGACAGGCAGTAGGATAGTTAGGAGTTAACCTGTTAATGACTATGTATAATGTAATATATAAACAAGTCAAAATTGAAAACAATGTTCAAACCTATGATTGCATGGTAATGTAATATATAGATAGAGCAATCTCTATATAGAAAATGAACGTGGATGTGTATTTATAAATCCCAAAAAACCGTTTGAAAAGAATACAAATTCAGTTATGTTTTAATTTGCTGGTGACAAAATCGATATTTGTGCCAATGTATACTATATTCAAATATCTAATTACAACATTGGTAAGATAACCTTTACTAATAAGTTTGTTTAAAGGTTCGATGAGTTTACACGGATCACATAGTGATTTCCGTGCTTTTATTACAATATTATCATAAAATTTAGGATGTGAAATACCGTTTTTAATAAGTTTTCTACAGGTACAGTTGAATTTACTAATCAAATCTTTGTATCTATGAAAGAATTTAGTAAAAGTTTTAAGCAATTTATGGTAACGAAATCCCTGACTTAATAATTAGTTCATTAAAAGTAACCCTCTATTAGTGCTCCCCGGACATACTTATAATATGGCAGGTTACTTTGAAAATCCTGAAATTGCTAAAGTTATTTCTGATCAGGAAGTCGTTGAATGTCCTGAATTGTTCAGTACTCAGGAAGAGGCAGACACCCGCATGATCTTTCAGGCTTTACACGCAGACAAAAGGCTGAAGGAATTGGGAAAGAAAGGCAGGATTAATATCAAATCATTTGATACAGACGTCATTGTTCTCTGTATTCATTTTTCAAGCAGATGACAAACACGAGTGAATTTTGGGTCCACATTGGAAACATTGGTAATCGGAGGTTTTTGCCTATTCACCAACTCTCTAACTGTGTTCTTCTCTCCCTGAAATTATTTGCAGAGTTCTTCCTGCCGTACATGCTCTCTTTGGGTGTGACACTACATTGTCCTTATTTGGCATTGGTAAAAAGTCAGTTTATAAAGTGTTGAAAGATGCAGTACTAGATTTCAGTGATTTGGACAATTTTAAAATTAGGAGATTCCGACAGAGAGACTTCAATATCATGCTCTAGACGGTTTGTGGCAAGGCATTACGATCAAAAGAAGAATTAGGCATCCTGCCATTATGACGTAAACAAACTGTGAGTTAAACTTGCGACAAGCAGGGATTCAAGTCTGGTCAGATTGCCACCGTCTGAAGCGTCCCTTCGACAGCCCATCCTTCGTGCCTCATTTCAGACAAAAATTTTCCTGTCTTGCAAAACCACCCCTGCCTTTCCCATTGGAATACAGATGGACATCAGTCAAAGATTCCTTGCATCCTGTCTACTTTGAAGGAAACATGTCAGCAGATTTTCTTCATGATCTCGTGTGTTCTTGTTAGGGGAAGTTACAATGTAAAAAGTCCTGTGTTTGTATCGACCAAAACCTTGCATGTACCGACTTATATGTTCCTGTCAAGGATCAGAACCCTGCAAGAACGTTTATACACATGCTCTTGTCAACGTATATTTGTTCCGCCTAACAGAAGTTCCACTGGAAACTTTGTTATAAACAATGTCATAATATCTGTTCCTGTTGGAACAAATATTCTATACAATTTATTCCGTTAGGAACATATACTGTAATATTTTTTCCGCTTGGAACTTATTATTATGAACATGATGAAGGAACTTCTATTTCGTGACACTCTGACAGAAGACGTTTGAGGACTCAATTATATTTGTCAGTAAAGCTTTTGATGCGATTTGCAAATTGAATGTGCATTTCTGATATTGTATCGCTAAGACCTTTATTAAAAATCTCCAAATTATGCATGGTAAAATGTGGTTCTAGTAATCAAAAATGCTTTTTACAGTTGTTTGTATATTCCGTACTGACTTGTGTTCCTTGTTATGCATGCTATTACATACAAAAAGTTTTTTAAAGCCACATATCAGTCTGTTTTGAGAGAGTTTTATTGCCACTTTGGCGTGTACCAACCCTACCCTAAGTGTACAAAATTAAAATGTTCAACTAGTATTGGGCAATAATAGATATCTATCTTAACACACATAATTTTTAGTATTTTTTTCTATTCATTTGTTATTTGGTCGTAATACTAATTGTTTTGAAAAAGTACATTTTTTTTTAGATGAAAACCACCCCCCTTCTTTTAAAAACGTTTTACTTTATCGGTACAATTCATTTTACGATGATTTTCAACTTTTTGAATGAAAAATAGAATTAAAAAAGAAAATCTATGCTATTTTGCTAATTTAATGATCAGCAAGACTTGATCTACAAACAAGTCAAATAGCAGAAATCATCAGTTGACTCCTTGTAGTACTTACTCTTTAATGACGATTTTTACCAATATTTAACGTTTTTGCCTACTATCTTGAAAACTATAAAAGATAGATAGACACTTTTAATAGCAAAAATGATCAGCAAGACAAGATCTACAAATAAGTAAAATTTTGCCGAAATTGTTGGTTTACTCTTTATAGGAGTGATTGCCTTAATTGATATTTTGTTTACTGTTTTTTTGTGGCAATGAATTCTATTCTAGTCCACAATGTTGGAGAGAGTCCATTGTTGATGCTCATAGACCTAGGTGAGCGACACAGGCTCTTTAGAGCCTCTAGTTTAAAATGTTTGGGATATTCTCATACCATATAAATCATAGTAAAAGATTTTTGTGATATGGATATGACAAATTTTAATTATTTTTTATCATATTATAAACAGCTTCTCCAAGTTGTTTTGTTGTCTGATTCATGCTGTATGCTTTGGTTGCCTGATCATAGCATTCATCTGTAAGTTTCCATCGATGTAAGCTGATCTTGAATCTAGTTTCCAGTGAAATATGTTCAAAGTCAGCATCGTGTGATAACTTGTTAAATACCTTCCGACATGCAACATTCATACAAGCACTGAGATATTTAGGTAACTTGTACTTTTCTGCTTCTATAATGTTTTGGACTATTTGCGGTGAAGTAATAGAGTCATTTTTCTTCTTGACCAACTTTGTGAGATACCAATCAGCCCTTATTCTGGCATCTTCTGCTAAGTATTCATCAATCAGTGGCAAAATCTGGTGTATTGTGTCCTCTGAAAATTAAGGAGAAAACAAATGACTTACAAAAAAGAACCAGGGATTTATTATTATTCTTGTGGTACATGTACTTATTTTCATGGATTTGGTGAGAACAGGTAAACCATGAACTTTATGAATATGAACAGAATATGTTACAACACAATCAAATATCCACGCCATGTAAGTCGTTGTGACCTAATATGTATAGAAGTAAGATAGACAGAATATATCCATGTTATTTGAACTCTTGTAGATAGTTGTCTCATTGGCAATCATACCACATATCCTTATATTTTTATGTGAACTATAATTATACATACTTAAATAGTAGTCTCTGTTAAAACATCTTGTCTAAATACTGGGCAACATAAAGATGGTCATACAGTATAGAATATCTAGACATTTTCTGTTGCAATGTTCAAGACTAATCTGTCTGAATGTCTTATCTGGTTCTACTGTGTTGATAAGTTGCTGTCTCAATAACCAATACCCCATATAGCATGTATATCTCATAACAGCCATTTAAAATATTGCCATAAAATATTTGTTTGCTCTAATGCAACTGCAGTTACTGAAAATATAGCAACTTCTTGAATGCTTCTCTGCATTTTTAGGGGAAACTTTTTGATCTATATTATATATCTGTGTGACTGTGTATATGTAACTTATTGGTCAAATAAATTCTTTGTTTACCCTCAAATGGATCCTGGATCCCTGGATGAGCTACACGTATGAACATGACAAAACTTTTATAATCCTTTCCAGTAAAAATTATTTCATTCTTTTTCTTCTCTTGAAAATCACTGGTTAGCATTTTCTCAAAAACCACTGATATCTGCTTAAATTCTTCCTGCGTAACATAAAGTTTTCTGTTGCCAATTTTAAGTGTCAAGTCAGACAACTGGAAAATTGAGTCTAATCTATCCATTTCTTTATTTCTGTCTTCCTCTTTCCTTACAAAATGGTTTTCACATCTGGAAACTGGTGTCACGGAGCAAGAGGGCAAGTCCTTGTCCATGAGTCTAAATTCAAATGAAGAAATAATAAGCTTATAAATCAAAATCAAAGGAAATCACATAAATTACTTATTCAACATACATTATGTATATGTATATGTACATTAATAAACATGGTGTAAAAACACAATTTCTGCACTATACTATAAATTAGAAATTGTTACACCAAGTTTATAAATAATGGCATTTTTTTTTTTTATATATATACAGACTTCATCAGCACGAATTTCAACTTGCCCTTGCATGCTTTCTTGATATTCTTGCTCATAAAGTCAGTATCAAAAACAATAAACTGCTTCGCTGAGCGCAACTGGATACGCATGCAGAGGTCGAACCATGAACAGTTGGGGCAAAAATGAACACAATATTATTCAAGCTTGATACAGGTCTGAATTTGGATTGTAATTAAATATTTGACATATTATAGGTTTCTGAATAAATGTAGTCAAAGAACTTGAAATTGGTTATATGAATTGAATTTATATTCAATTAAAGATTTCTTGCTGTTGTGCAATACACTGTGCTGTTGTGCAATACTTAGTAAATCTGTTGTCAGACTATAAACAAATAAAGTTCAATTTCTTCTCAATGTCACATATGAAATTTATGAAAATCAATAGGGAGGTTAATAGCTCAATAGCTATAAATAATTCACCAAAGTTTCATGAGAACTGCTGAAAGCATTTTTGAGTTATTGTCAAAAATCTGGAAAATCCCCCCTTTTTTAATGAATAAAACCCCATAACTCAGAAATGTAAAATCTAAAATTTATAAAATTCTAAAGGGAGCTTACATCAACAGATATAAACAATTCACCAAAGTTTCATGAGAACTGCTGAAAGCATTTTTTAGTTATTGTCCGAAAACTGGAAAATCCCCCTTTTTTTATGAATAAAACCCTGTAACTTGGAAACGTTAAATCTAAAATTTATAAAAATCCAAAAGGGTGCTCATGTCAATAGATATAAACAATTCACCAAAATTTCTTGTAAGTTGGTGAAAGCATTCTTGAGTTATTGTCGGAAAACTGGAAAATCCCCCCTTTTTTTAATGAATAAAACCCCAAAACTCAGAAACGGTAAATCTGAAATTTATAAAAATCCAAAAGGGAGCTCATGTCAATAGATATAAACAATTCACCAAAATTTCTTGCAAGTTGGTGAAAGCATTCTTGAGTTATTGTCGGAAAACTGGAAAATCCCCCCCTTTTTTAATGAATAAAACCCCAAAACTCAGAAACGGTAAATCTGAAATTTATAAAAAACGAAAGGGAGCTCACATCAATAGATATAAACAATTCACCAAAGTTTCATGTATATTGGTTAAAGCTTTTTAAGTTAATGTCCGACATGTTGACGACGGACGGATGGTCAACTGTATACCATAATACGTCCGGTAAACGGCGTATAAAAATGCCAAATTTTTAAATACCGGTAGCCATTATTCTATATTTACCTCTAGATACAGATTAGAAGAATAGCATGTTATAGCAGTTTTGTGTAAATTACATGTAGTTTTGTAATGTTGAAATATATATGCAAACAAATTCCTAACATACACAATTCATTAATTTTTCTACTGGATGATTTTGTCTCAGGAACACACCAATATTCTGCATGTATAAATTAGACCAGAGCATTTCAATAAAAATTCCACAAAATTACATGATGTCCAAACAATATTAAAAACCTTCTGAAAGTACATGTATGTCAACAGGGAAAATTCAAAGGAAAAATTTGGACAAATAAAATGCATATTAAAAGAGTTACTGGATTGATTGACTATTATTCAATTTTGCATCAGCCTAAAAATTGCTACATCCCTACACAAGAGCTGTATGAGCATATTACTAGTTCACATTTTCAAAGCTTTTCTCCTTAAATATCTCTGTAAATATGAGATAAACTTCATGCAAATTTCAATATTTTGATGTGATTGTTTTATGCAAAATTTACAAAAAATCAAAGAAAACTCCTTACATGTATGGTCACAACAAAATGTGTTTAACACTAGTTTGATTATTAACCAGCCGGTACCATATGAGTATTCAGACCATATAGGTATTTTTAGATTAAATGCAGGAATTTCTTCACTTGAACACACAGCTCATTCTCCAAACCAAAATCGCCACAAGTTACTAACTGATCATGAAATCCTTTAATCTGTTAATTTATCTTTGACTATATTGTCTGAATCTTTGTATGTCTGTTCTCTTGCCTTAGCTAGACTAAATTTAAAGTGCCTTTATCCTGTCGGCATTTTTGTCCGTAAGTGAAACCACAGGCGGTTGTGGCATGGATTTTTTTTCTTTTTTTCCCCAATGTTGAGATTACTTTTTTAATTTCTTTTAATTTCTACTTCTTTTCCCTTCATCAATGTTTTCTTGCTCCTATTCATATGATTTAACAATAACAGTAGTTTATACATGCTGTCCCTCTATTCTTATTTTCCACATACAAATAGGAGAACACATACACATCTTTAAACTACTGTTTAATCGTATGAATAGGATCATGAACATATTAAATAACTAAAAGTAAATCATTTGACTTCTTGTTTAAAAGTTAAGCTAAATGTATCTAGAAGTTATTTTCCAAAGTCAGTCAATGTATTGTGTTTTGTAAGGAAAAATTGATGAGGACCATGTAAAAATGCTTTTACTATCATTTTAACTTGTGAGTAAAACTCCTTTTATTTCATTGTTCATGTAACAATGATTGAATAAGTCAAATTTCATTGTTAGCAACTCAAGTAAAATTTCATTGTTAGTACACACAAGCTGATCTTTTTATTGGTCAACAGACAAGGATTTCATGGGGGAAAAACAGAAAAAAAGAGAATAAGGTCCTTACCCAGTTATCTGGGGTTAAAAGGACAGATGAACAAAGTAACAAAGTATGTCAATAAAGCAAATGCTGACGGAATTTAATGATCAGACAGCTTAGACCCTACTTCTCTTAATTTTCTTCTCTGTCAAACTTATTTCTTCTGGAATAGTCGACCTCTAGTATTGCTGTTCTATTATCAATGAAATTTCCACATTCTTATTCTTAATACTCATAGAAAGCAAAGAGTTGTTAAAAAATCACAAAAGCTATATCTGTACGCTCAAAAAGCAAAAGGCTCCACTTGCTGGAAGGGACAGGAACTAAGAAAATAAGTTTCGTCTTAGTGTATAGTGTAAAAACCTCCTATTTGAAAGCACCGCATATTTCGAAGTTGCAAAAGTAGAACAATATTTCCTTCTAAAACCCCCCACTATTAAAAAAGGAGATGTCGATATTCGTAAAAAAGACAACAATCCAACGACAACAATAATCAAATATAAAAGTTCAAAATAGATTCTCAAAATATCATTGTCAAAAATCAGTCCGGTCAATATTGCGCATGCGCATGCGTGAATTTTTATTCCGAATGGACGTTGTATAGCAGCACGAAGATTTTGCACAGATCACAGATCCAAATACGGAGAGTTTCTAAGTCTTTATTTGCACTTGCATCCTCACAATTTAATATTATAGGTCACTATACCTTGATTTAACTAATAACTTCAGGCATTTTTGTAAATTGCACGGTGTTTCCAGCTAACTTTTCTTGCAGGCCTTGCCGGACGGCCATTTAATTTCCAGCGCCATATTTGAATTTTGACAAATAAAATTTTATTTTTTCAGACAGTAAGTCTAAGTCTTTTTGTGACTTATAAATAATTAAAAAAAATAATTCAGACATCTTTATAATCATTTCGATCAGTTAAATAATTTTTTTTCCATTCTAGTTAAGTTTAAATTTTTGACCACATAGTCTGTAGTCTAGACCCCCCCCCCTTCTCTTATTTAATTTTCTTGCTACATCTATTTATTGCATATATATATAGTTTAATCAAACCTTTAAACACACTGTACTTGTGTTTCAACCAATATCCTGTGTTTGAAAGATAAAAGAAAATTTAGTCCTCTGTTCCCACAAAGACTGATATATGTCTGAGACTAAAGTTGTAAAGTCAAGCAGATACTTCAGAGTAAATAAGAGAGATATTCAGGATAAAACAGCCCAAAGCCAACCCATAATTATATCTGATAGTAAAGGCAACTACATAAAGAGAGCCATTACAACTGAAGACTTCCTAAATATAAAATTTATCACAAAAAAAGGACAAAAAGTACAGCAAACTATTGATTGGGCCGAAAAAGAATTACCATCTATCTGTCATCAACACAAAAACATCACATTTTATATTTGGCTAGGAACCTGTAATTTAACCGAACTTAACAAAACTACCAGATCCATCTCTCTTGTGACCAAAACGATTCGAACGTCCGATATCTAAGAAGAAAATTTATTGAACTTAAGGCTGTCATCACCAAAATAAAACCAAAATCAGAAATCATCTTCTTAGAAGTACCGCCATACTCCATTCAGTGCTGGAACAGATCACAAGGCCACAAAAACCCGGACATTTTTAGTGAAGACGATCAAACACTTCAAAACCAGTTATATCAATTAAACACCTTCATTCAAGAAATAAACCAATCTGCAGAAAAATCACCAAAATTTGATCTAGACATTCGAAAAACATCTAAAAGAAAAGGCGGTACTGACGAATACTACAATTTTAATCTATACAAAACTGACGGTGTACATCCAAACTCTTTATTAGCAAAGCTCTTGATGAGAAGAATAGCGACCAAAATTCTCCACCAATGTTATAGATAAATATCATCAATACAGTAGAATAGAATACTATATACATATATATATATAAACTTTATAACAACCATATTTAATTGCATTCATATATAGAAATATAACAGCTTTTATATAACCCTAGTCCATAGTGTATAACTAACAAATATAGAGATATATATCTACATACTCATTAAACCCTGACATCAGAAGATATAATAGTTAACTGGAAAATTCTTATTTGAGCAAGCTTTTAGTGGGGACGCCCCGCTGAATGCACATTAATCTACATAGAACTTCCTCGTTAAAAAATAAATAAATATCTAAAGTGAAAAATGAGTATCCAGACTAGAACATCAGCAAGAACCAAGAGCAAACCTCAGCCCTTTACACCAGCTAAATATGAAAACTTTAGTATCAATAAAACCAGGGCCTTGGACAAAAAGCTAGAAGCATGTAATAGAACAATGGACATACAAATTGAGCAGAAACATCAAAACTACATCCTAGAGCTATCAGCAGCTGCTTATGAAATTATAAAGGGGGAAATAGACATATACTTTGAACAACACTCTACATACAAGCTCTTGCCAAAACACCAGCATGATAATCAAGGGCTATGCATCAGAACATCACATTCGGTCAGAAATAGAAGTAGTAACAGACAACTCTATCGTATCAATTTATTCCATACTACATCAAAGGTAGAGGTTAATGGCCAAGGTATGGAACACTTCCTGACACACATTGAAGATATAAAAGAAAGAATGAAATCAAGAGGGAACTATAAGATATATAACAAACAGATAGAGGAACAGATAAACATAATCAAGAGAAATGAAGCTGATATAGAAATAAGAGCAAAACAGAATGAGTCACTTGTAAAAACAACAGCTCATCAGCCTAAAACCAACCACAGTAATAGAATACTAGTATCCAAAGGGGCAGAATGTATACAAAATACTGACGAAGAACTTCTAAGTAACTAGAATAGAGCCATTGAATGGTCAGAAGATGAACCAACACCAAGTCCGGACACAAGTGCAGTCAGCATGTCTACTATACATAACTACTGTGCCACATGCAATCAGACAGCACAACCAGAAATATCCATAGACTGTATTGCATGCGGCCAACTGTTTCATTATACATGTGAAAACATTGATCCTGTAAGGATAAGCCAAACTGAAGAAGAACAGTATTCATGTAGGAGCTGCTCTATTATGGACATGGACATGGTTAATATATCAATGAGAAGCAATAACTCAATTATAGATACAGAAGAAACAATACCAAAAGTAAGTCTAGAAAAACAAGGCTCGACAAAGGAATATAGTGAAATGGCCCATATAGTTAAAAACGTGCCAGACAATACATCTAAAGACAGTCCAACTAGAAATGATGTTACGAAGGAAGAAGCAGGAAATGCAAACACAGAAGAATTAGAAATGAACAAAATGGATACATACAAACAGCCTAACCAAATATTACAGAATGGCAGAAATGAACAAATAGAAAATGTAGATGAGCCAAAAAACATGAAAGCAAAACCGAAAAGGCAATATAAGTGCAAAAATATAAATGAAACTACTCAACAGCTGGAAGATCAATTAGCACAATGCAGAGCAAGACTAGTCATAATGGAAGATACCAATAGAGACTATAGAAATACAATCAATTTACTTAGGATGCAAACAGAAGAAAGCACCATTGACAAAAGTAATTTAAAATCCTATCAACCAAATTGTAACTGTAGCAACAACTCGCAGGAGCAGACTATAAACAAAGTAGATATGATGCTGAACAACTTCAGGCTAGAAATGGAAAATAGAGACCTAAGAATTAAACATCAAATGGAAATGAATGAATTAAGAAATAAACTGCAAATAATGGAACTACAGAAAGAACTAAGAATGTGGCAAAGACCAGGAAGTCATGAATATTATCCTTATAACCAGAATATGGATAATACTAGGAACACAAACCAACACCAAATGAGTGATCAGCATACTGGCGTACAGCTAACAAATCAGCAATCCAGGATTCCTAATCAAGCAAATCCACTATTCATGAATCATTTGGCACCTCCACACTATAGCCAGATACCAACAGAGCAGAGCAGAATAAATCATGGCCGTATACAAGCGCCAATGTACCACAATAGCAGAATACAGGCTATACCTGCAAATGGCCAAAGCAGCCACTATTACACTGGCTATAGAGGTATACCAACTGGCAGTATCAACACTAACATGATACAAAATGCACATTTATACAAACAGCAATATAGGATAGCTCCACAACCTATACCACAAAATATAAATTACCACCAAGGATATAGTCAACAACAGACAAACAGAAAGGAACAAAGTCAAAGAAACATCAATAAAAGATTCTATGACCAAAGAACAAACATGCCAGTAATAGCTAAACAAAGTCAGGCAGAAGAAATTGAAAGACAAAATCAACTACAACAACAAACAAATCAGGCTGATAATATCAACCAAGTAGATAAAGAACCAACAGAAGAAGCTAGAATGAACATCAATCTAACAAATTCAGCTGCTTTGACTACCGCGAAAAATGATGAAGATAAAACCCATACAGAAGTAAACCATCAAGCAGAAGTCGCTTCCAGAATTGGTCTTAAAACAACGGCTTCTAGTGGGGACGCCCCGCTGGAAGCGGACTGCCATCAGAAGTTTCCCTCTCAAAGGGGGGCTAATGTTGGTGGTCCTAAGCATCTAAAGGGACTAGTTCAGGCTGACAATCTAGAAACAAAAGAAGATGGGAATAGAAAGAAACCAAATCATTTTTTAGGCAGCGGCCGATCAAACAAGATAAAAGGGAGGATATCATTATAGGTACACTCAATGTACAAAATGTGAAGTCAAACGCTCTCTATATCAAAAACTTGTTAAGGGATGTACAGGTGTTATGCATTCAAGAACACTGGCTCTTCAATGCGGAAAAGAAAATCATAGCTGAAGTTGCTGAAAATAGCGGATACATAGCTAAAAGCGTTGACGATAATGACGACCCTGATTTCAACGTATCAATGAAAAGAGGATATGGTGGAGTAGCCATAATCTGGAAAAAAGAAATTAATGAAAATATAAAGGAACTGATAGACGGTGGAAATAGAATACAAGCCATACATATTCAACAAGGAGACAAACCAATATGTCTTATAAATGTATATATGCCATCAGATAACAAAAATGCAGATATCGAATACAAAGACACTTTGGCTCAAATTGATGAAATGATAGAGAAATATAAAGATACACACGAAATTATAGTATGTGGAGACATGAACGGGTCACTCCATAGAAGCTCTACACCTCATGATAAAATTCTACAAACTTTCTGCATGGAAAAATGTATAGGAAATACTGAGAAATGCCCATTAAAAGAAACATTTTATCACCAGAATGGTAAATCGAAAGGACA